ATGTAACTGAAGCTCAAGTCACATATCGAATATTATATTTCACTGTTGTAATAAAAATGATTAGCTTCTATTTATAAACGTTATTTGAAAACGTATTTCAATTTTGTTTAATTGACCCTCTCCATTTATTTTATTTAAAAATAAAACTTACATATTATATTATCTCATGATAAATGTTTTATTCGTGTGTTTTTAATCTCGAGAATGAATCAGCAGAACTTAATATTGTCGATTAACTTATTCAACATTAATCGATTATCTTACTCAAAATAAAAAATATGTCACTATCATGCGAAAACTTTTTTCGGGATGAAAAACCATCGAAACTTGAGATGTGTCGTTATTTTAAAGAGTAGCTTTCATAGAAAAATACTTTTTTTGTTTTTACAAAACAACTCATCGACTCATATCTATTGATACTATAATTCATTAAAAGTATTCCAAACCCATACTACTAATAAATCTTACGTTGAGTATTCTTTATTTATCGACATTCTATAGAACGAGTAAAACTTCTGAGTTCTGTTATGTGCATTTATTTTCATGGTTGATTTGTTTTACTTTGAATAACTGTGTTCTGCCTGAACTCTGTGACATATTCAATGTGAATGTGCCGTTTCTAACCTACAATTAACAAGAAAAAAAACACAGAATTTGTCTGATTGTTTTAATTAAAAAACTCCTAAAATAATTTCATATTGACTAAGTTTTTTGTTTTTTTCTTTTATTACAATATTGAAAAAGACAAAACAGAAGTCTGTAAGTGAATGATAGGTAAGTTAGATTGAAGAGTTTTCGTTATGATGAGCCACTACTTTCGGACTTCTGCATGTTTTTCAACTATATCAGCATGTTGACTTCAAATGAACTTGATGCTAAGTAGTAACAAATTGATGTAATACTAAACAAAAGAAAAAAATTTATTGTCAAAGACCTATATTCGACATCAAGTATGTTACCGTATAGATAACACTTATTTATAAAAGTGAAGATGAAATCTGACACTATTGGGTAATCATAAAAGATACAGTGAATCATGATGTTGCATCATCTAAATAAGACTTCATTATTTTTTTAAATACAATCAATTTATTTTATACTCGTCTAATATTACAATTCTAATGTATTTTCATTTTCTTTTTAAATAAAATTGAAGTACTATGCTATAAAATCTACAGATTACGATGGCTATATCCGATACATTTCGATTATATTGACTTTACAGTTTACTGGTAATGTTAGATTTTTAAGAGGATTTCTTCCTCTTCTGGTGTTTCTGAAAAACGGTTCATCAGAAAAATTTGAAATTTCTTGGAAAAATAGATGCTAAAGATTAGAACAAAATCTATTATCTCGAATGTTGTCTTCTACACGATGCTATGATTGAAGGTTCCCTAAAGACAAGCATATTTTTTATTACAAACTTTTGGTAAAAGTTATCAAAAATCAGCAGAATAATACGTTTTCGAAACAAAAAATGCACATTCCATATAGCCTCTGCAATATGTAAAAAACTTACCAGTTCGATCTGACGTACTAGACTGAAGAAACGGAGATGCTATAAAATGTTTTTCACGAAAAAATTCTTTTAAAGCGATCATTTTCAAATAAATCATGCTTTTCCCATCTCATCCGTATTTTCGACATGATTGATTTTCCAAAAATATTTTTCAGGATGTGGGTGTGAATATGGGCAGTGCCCGCGCGAAGGACCTAATATTATGGAGGGTGTGGGTGTAAGTGTAGGTGTGGTTGTTGATCTTCTCTGAATCCACCCCTCTCCCCACCATCACACACAGACACCCTATAATTTTCTTACTTTAAATTGCTTAAAAAAACACAGTTTAAAAATAATTTTTCTGATGATTCTTATAAAACCTTCAGCTAAACACAATTTTTCTTTCGAATTCTATCTGTCACACCCATCAGTCCATAAAAGGAGTAGATCATGTAGAAATTATTTTTACATCGTTCTGTAGAATTCAATCTTAGCATGATTTTCATGTATCCATGTACAAAAGTTGTTTATTTTTAAACAGCGTGAATAAAAACAAGACGAAATTAGCCTGAATAAATACAAAAAAACCTGTGCACTGTCAAAACAACTTTCTTTCTATTTCTTCGATTTTTTTGCTTTTATATCCTGTTTTTGATCAGCAGTTTTTCGTTCTTGGCGTGTTTGTATATCAGGGGAAACACCTTGTTCTTTTTTTTCCCATGCAACACGTTCTTGTTTACTTTTTGTACCCGATTGATGGGAAGCATCAATTGTTGGCTTATATATATCCTTTTTGCCAAATTGATGTGTATCGCCTGTCTTTGGTGAAGTGGAATCAGCTTTCGATGATGCAAATAAATGTTGTTGTTTTACCAGAGACAGTGATAATCGAGGATAAGTAATGAATCTTGAGAACGATGATAACATTTTCGTAAGAATATCTATGAAAAACAGACCATACAGAAGAGAAATAAAGAATATATTATTGGCAATTATTAGTCGAAAGATTGATTATCAATTATGGAATGTTATTTTTCTGCGAACTTTGGCTGTCATTTTACAACTGATCGATCGTATTATTTGTGGAATCTCTATCGAAATTATCATAATTCACAACAGAATACAATCAACACAACAATACGAAAGTAAAATTAAAGCAGGTGATCGAAAAATAAAAACACATCAATAAATCTACTGTGTCCTATTAGTACATTAGTTGGCTGAACAACAAATGAAAAAGCTTTTCTTTTCCTTCAAGGTGTTTGTATATGCGAAGTAGCGAAGCCGGCATCATACGACATCTTCATAAAACATTGCTGACAATAAAAATGAAACATAATACGCAACAATGTGGTAGAAAATTCTGGGAATTTGCCTAGACAGAAGAAAAAGACGATTGCTTAAATAATTAACGATAATTGAACGACATTAGATTGAAGCGCTCTCTGAAAAAAACTGCTGTAAAGCTAGCTAATATTTACTTTGCCATTAACGTTTTGCGTCGTCGCTTACAATTTTTCCAAACACTTTTCTGGCGCAGAAAATGAGAGACTCTACCTGTCAATCATTAGGATAAACTTCGCATTTTTCATTCATTGCCTACGGACTCGCATTAGAAGGAAAACTAATCAGAGATAAGAAAAGAAACACAAGTAACAGCATGAAACACCAGCGCAAAAAGTCACACGTATACAAACTTAAAGCAAATAAATGTTGTGACATCAAAACATTAATCCTAAATCGGATAGCAAGCAAATTAAGTGATCGATTATTAGCTATGATGGGTTTTGATATCAGTTCATAGTGCACTTGCCTCATAATGTAAGAAAATAAAAAGCATTCATTCATCTAACACTTAAATGCACCATACAACTATACAAATAATGCGTTGTTGTTCTTTATTTTTTCTCGAGTAAATCTTGACTGCACCATTTTCTACAAAAAGCGCTGATTAGATCTCCAGTCAGTCTTTTCAGTGAATATCTTCACGTTGTCTACGTGAGATCAATAAATCTCGAACAAATGAATATATTCATAAATCGATAGGAAAGAACTAGTTCTGAAAGGCGTTCTATGCAGTTCAAATCATCTCAGTAACAAATGACGAGATTCTTTTAGCACATTTCTGATAACCTGAATAATTTTTTTTCAAAGACTGCTTGAGCGAATCAAAAAGGCACTGTTATAAAATGGGTCGAGTTTGTGAATCGAGTCGAATCGGATGGTCTGTCATCCAAACATATTGAAATCATGATCAATAACTTCGATGAGTGCAATCAATAAACCGCATTCCGTTATGCAGCGTACTTGAATAACATCTTCTTTGTCAAGCAATCAACGATGAGAGACAAACGTTTTCGATGCAGTGAGTACTGCAAAATGTCCTTGTTGGTGTTATCTATCGTTTCACATTTGAATGCATAGATAGATATCAATATCAACGAAGAAGACGGTGAGAATGTGTTGCATGACGCTACTCAATCGAATGCAATATGGCATATTGCAAGTTTTCGGATGTATTTTTCAACTTTCTTCTTACATCTAAACAATTATTTGAATATTCAAAAAACTTAGCGAAACACAATCGATGGAGACAAAGAACCAAACGATCGTTCATTCATTCAAGGTTGGTTCAGTGTTAATATTCAAATGAAAGTGTCTCTAAAAGATCTCGTAGTCGAATGATTATTGATACACTGAACTATCGTTGCTTGCGAAGTATTCTCATTCACAAGATATGTTCTCAATCGATGCTAACAACAATGGAGTGAACATTCCTCCGCACTTGCATAATGTTTCATACTATTCACAATTTTAATAAAACAGATTTTTCAGAAAACTAAAGCGATATTAAAAAGGCTTTTACAGTCCAAGTATAATGTTGAGCTCATGTTTTAAAGATTTTCAGTTTGAAATACTGAAAATAAGTATATTTTGACATAAATGCACTAATTCAAGTTTCCCGATTAGAAAAATGAATTACTCTGCATACCTTATGTACATGTTTCAAGCACTACCTACCTTCGATTGGTTTCGATGCTATATTTGAATCTCGATTTCATCTGACATAGAATATCTCTGAGCAAGTCACTAACGGTTGCGATACACCAAAGGCCCTTATGCCTAGTATGCAACAAGTCAGTATGTACTGACAGACTCTAACTTCGACAAGTCTTCTGTCCAAAGCTAGATTTAGTAATAGACAAACGAAACATATTGAACTGTCGATACTGTTTTCGGGCATCACCCTAAAATACAAGGTAGTCAAACGTCGTCGTGGTTCCTAATGATAGATAGTGTCTTAGAATGAAATTTATTCGTTTTGAAACACATCCACTGTTTGAAGCTTTTTATTAGTCCTTCAAATTATACAGTAATCGAATAATGTAAAGATTACGCTGCGTACCTTCAGTGTCGTATAGTGATGAGAAAAAAGATCAGCTGTAGAACCAATGAAAGGCATGTATGTCGTATAATATAACGCGTTCGTTTCTTTTTAAAGATGATTGAAATAAGCGAGGTTCTTTTTGTTTCCACTAGTTTATTATTTCTAATTGTATCAACAGTTCACGGTGGCTCCATTACCGAGCATTCAAGTTGATCCAGACACGCAACATTTCGTTGATGAATTTGGTCGTATACGTATATTTCACGGTGTTAATGTCGTCTACAAGCAACCACCTTTTTTACCCAATCTGACTGATTTTGATCCACAAAATTCGCTGACGGAATTTGATCTTGACAATCTTCACAAATGGGGTTTCAATGTCATACGTTTTTATACGTCTTGGATGGGTGTCAATCCGAAATCACCAAATGAATTTGATGAAACGTATCTTTCTCAACTGTCCACCGCTGTCTCCATGATGGAAAACAAGAGTATTTATGCTTTGCTCGATTGCCATCAAGATGTCTTTTCACGATTCTTTTGTGGTGAAGGTCTGCCTGATTGGGCAGCTAAAAATTTGGGCAATGAGTCTCTTAACCGATTTCCGTTCCCTTTTCCAATTAATTTTACACACGATTCGGATACAGGATATCCAGTGCTTGATGAATGCTTGAAATATACTTTTGGTCAATACTATCTCACCGAAGGGGTGATTAACGGATTCAAAATGCTGTAAGTTGCTCAAAATCTGCAATATAATCAATTTCTATTGCCTATTATTCGTGAAATCTAGATATACAGACGGTAATGGTACTCTCGAAGCATTTGGCTCATTCTGGCATAAAGTAGCCAGTTATTTTGCTGATCGATCATCTGTTCTTGGCTATGAGCTCATCAATGAACCATCATTTCCAGCATTGGCTGATGTTCTACAAATGGGTCTCGTCGATCAAAAGTACTTGGCTCCGATGTATAGAAAGTTACATGAAATGATTCGAAAAGTGGATGAAAAACATCTGATCTTTTTTGAACCTTGCGTCTTCGATGTATTTCATACTGGTTTCACTGAAGGGCCAGGTGGTGCGGAATACAACAATCGACAAGTGTTTAGTTATCATGATTACTGTTTGGATGTGACGAAGCAAGGAGATCCAAAATCAGATGTGTTTTGTGAACTCTTCGATGATGCTCTGATCTATTTGCGTGTGAAAGAAGCACGTGAAAAAAAGCTCGGCGGTATGATGTTGACTGAATTTGGTGGACTCAGCAATTCTACCCAAGGTATCAAAGAGCTCAATCGAGTAACTTCAGTGGCCGATGAGTTTCTCCAAAGTAAGTATGCAACATTATGTACGATATATTTTGAAAGCATGGTATGAATCCATCATTCAGCACATGTGTTATTTTCTCTGAAGAAACGACTAACTATTATTATTTTTGATTACATTCGATATGATGAGGTCTTAATAATTACGTCGATCAGATTACTTCAAGGCAGTCCTGGTTCAACCATTGATCGGATTCGATCATTTTAGTTGGGTATATATAGTTATACGTGTAAAGCAAAACAGTGAATCAATAGTTAACAGAGGGAGCACGATACATATTGACTGCGGCATATTTTGTGTTAGTGGTAATGTATAGCTTCAAACACTCATCTATATGTTATCTTTAGGTTGGACTTACTGGCAATTTAAGAAATATGCCGATTTGACAACATCTGTGAGACCTGCTACAACAGAATCATTCTATACAGATGATGGCGAATTAGAATTGAATAAAGTACAAGCACTCTCACGATCATATGCACAAGCTATTGCAGGTAATGAAATCAATGTAATTAGAAAGAATATCATTTTGATGACGATTCAGGCATTCCAATACATATGGCATTCTTTCCTACCACTAATCTATTCGAACTGCAGTTTACCATCAATACCGATATTCGACAACCGACAGTCATCTATCTGAATGAAGATTTCAACTATCCACATGGTATCAACGTCATACTCTCTCCAGAGAATTCACTTATCTGGACATCATCTAATCGCAACTACTTTGAATTTGTTCCAACTCCATTGCTAAAAAATGGGACAGATATTTTAATTCAAATTTTTGCTATAATTGAACATTAATTTGATCGATTTTTTTAAAAATCCATTCATATTTTGTTGAAAAAACTGTTTGTGAGCTAGTCTTTTGCTTGGACTCACTTAGAAAGCAAGAGTTTTTTATGGTTGTTTTTAAAATCCATCTACTGAGAAACCAGGTTTTCGAAAACCTTTTGTCTTGATTCTAAATTTATCGTATAGATATAAATCAGTACTAACTGATACCTAATTCCTTGGTGGCTCAGCAATGCTTAAGTGTAAAACGACTAAAAATATGACTTAAGTCACTTTGCATGGCTGCACGAGAGTGTTTCACTATACATTTCACTACTATGGACCATAGCGTAACACTAAGAGAGAAAAATCGGCTCGTCTGTCATCTAATAATAAGTGAAACTGTGAAGTGAAAACTTTCACAAGCTGGGTCTATTTAAAAGTAGTGCAGATACCCATGTCATTTGAACTGAAAAAAGCAGACGGTTTATTTTGAAAATGTTGGGTCAAGTAGTTTGTCTTATAATGGATGAATATTTTTTTTACTCTGTAAATCGTATAGAATCTTGATAGTGGTTGTGCGTTTCTGTGTGACTATTGATTAACATAAGATGAAAATCTACCGACATCCACACCCACGCTCATACCTACACCTACATCCTCTCAGGCGCAGTACTATTTTTCCAGAAAAGAATGAGCACTACATGCTTTTAAAAAAATCTGAAATTATTTTATTTGGTGTCACTTTTTCCATAGACAGTCAGATTTTTATACGAAAAGACTAGATTACACAAATTGGTTTTTTGAGCATCTTTGGACGCTGAAAAAAAATCACACTACCTTGAATGTAAAATTTTCGATCTTTAGCTGCTGCGGTTCCGACATACTTTCTGAAAAGGATGTAAGTGTAATGTGCATTCATACTGCTCGTAGCGGTATCACACATTTTGATATATGAAAAAGTTTTGATCTCTTCATAGTAATTGCCATAGTAAGATTAGAGTCGAACATGGATCAAAATAAAAACAATTGATCCATATCTACTCTTTTCAAATGATTAGATGTGCTGCAAAAACTATCCGAACATCCCATGTTTTTTCATAATTCTTGGTTGGCGAAGCAGAAATATGAGATGAAGTTTTCGTTTTTCACCAGTAGATAGTTCTTACTTCGAACTAGGTTCTCTATGAAAATCAGCAATTTTGATTATCATCTCGAATTACGGGAATGTTTCTCATGAAAATGTTCGAATCTTGAATAGGCTAGGTACTTGTTTTTCTAACATCATAATATTATTATTTTCAGACTGTTAGAACGAGCAAAGCGGGTTCTATCTATTAGCATAATATTTCAAAGAAGAAAGTTAATTTTCATGATGTGAAGTATCATATGTATGACGGTCTTTATTAGAGCGATGCAAAGTGTCCATTGCCATGTGATTTTCCGAAATTAACTAAGTTTTCTCTTTTCATCTTTATTTTGTTTCTTTTGTTCATCGTTTAAGACAATGTGTTCAAAAATCATAAGAAACTGGTTTCTTTTGAAATAGCTTATATTGTGAAAATTAACTTTCTTCTTCGAAATATGATGCTAACAAATAGAGCTCGCTTTGCTCATTCTAACAATGTGCAAATAATATAATTATCTGATGTTAGAAAAACGAGTACCTAGTCTATTGAAGATTCGAGCATTTACATGAGAAACATTCCCATAATTCGAGATGACAATGAAAATTGCTGATTGCCATAGAGAACCAAGTTTGAAGTAAGAACTATCTACTGGTGAAAAAAAGAAAAGCTTTATCTCATATTTCTACTTCGCCAATCAAGAATAATGAAAAAACATGGATTCTTCGAATACTTTTTGAAGTACCTGTATGACACAGTTAGTGTAGCATTCGTACTCAGTTATAAATAGTAGACAAACTATGTTCACTACAATGCACTTGCGCGTAACTACGAAGGCTGCACCGCAACTACATAAAGTTTCAGTGAAAATTTCGTAATTATCCGTAATGACGCTGCCGTTGTCTGCCATTACTGGTCCCAGCATTATTGAAGTACAGTGCGACCTTGCCATATTGCGATCGTGATCAAATTCATGAGGAAATATTTCAAAGAACATTTAGAAAGCAATTTTATGCTAACCTTACAAATATTGGTCTGCTTAGAATCGTACAAAACCCAATCAACTAAGTATACATTGACTACTTTGAAATGAATTCTTAGATCAATTAGAAAAGAAGGATAATATATTTTTTTTTATGTAATGCTGATACTTTTAATAATGATATGCCAGACTTAACGTGAATGGGTGTCGAGTTTCATCTACTTCTCAATCTTCATCCATCATGAAACTTTGTGAATTACTCTTGTTCGGATGCGAGCAAGATTTTATGGATGGATAGGGTATGACTGAAATTATGTCGCCTACATCTCTCTAAAATAAAGCAGCACCTGAAACTAGTCGTGTCTCCAATTCTAGTTCAAAGAATACGTTGTACAATCGTGAAACTATATCAGGCATTTTATTTCGTATTTTGGAAATGATTAGACAAAGGTTTCTTTCATTCTTATATAGTAACCCGCTTTAATCCATGAGTCAACAAAAAGTGGTGACGTGATTAGCAACGCTACCATTGTCCATATCCATCCCATGAACTTGCCCAGAGGACTAGTTGTCTTCGTCGATAGTTTCATAGCAATTTCTATTTTGATTAATACAGCTTGCAACATGAAGAAAAGCATGTTCTTGCCTGGCCACACGCTACCGACTATCACTAATATAAACTCGTGAAATACGCCCGATAAAGCAAAAGCAATAAATGCACTTGTTGTTTTGTTCATTGTCTTAGTTGTTCCAGTCAGTCTCGGAATGACAATGAAGGATATGCGATGCAATACTGCTTTGACAGGGGCATTCCATCGGCGTGACCAAAAGTCACGGAGACTTGTCGATGCAAATGGCAGGGAGGGAAAGGCCGAATTCATGCGAACATTAAACAGAAGACAACTAACACCGAACAAGACATTGTATATTATTGATATAGCAAGGTACATAATGACCCCAAGCAAAGCGGAGCGAGCAAGCCAGCCAAATGGAAGAAACGATGAACAAGGAAGAGAGAGCCAATCGATAGGTATGACACGAAAAAGAGTTCGAAGAATGATGATTTGGCCTATACTTTGTAAAATGGTTGAGATGCTTTCACGGCGAGCGTTTATTGCATGATCTTTTGATTTTTCTGCCGAAGATAGAGTCACCAGTGAAGCAGTTAAAACTTCTAGAATCACTTGTTTTGGTGTCATCATTCGCGTATATATCCATTCTTGACCAAATGCCAATCCAATATATTGTAACGCCAATAGGAAACTCATTCCGACACTGGATTCATCCAAGTGTGTCTCTGCAAGGGACCAAGATGAGTGATATTTCCAGTAGATTGGCATGTAGAGAGAAAGTAGAGCACAAACAATCGACGTCGAATGAAAAAAGTAAATCGAATTGAAACGTTGACTAATCAAGAGGCCGAAGATGAACAGCGAAAAAATACAAGCAATGAACAACCAGATATTCACGAAAATACTTTCAGCCATATTGATGAGTGAAAAAGAAATGTGAGGATGTATATCGCTCGGTCGTTCGCTTTTTACTGATAAGAACATGAAGAATGAGTGCAAATGTGCAGCTGAATGTTAAAATAAAAGTGGTCATATCTCATATTTTGACATAAAAAAGGTATCCTAATGAAAACAATGCATACAAATGAGAGATTCATTTCTAACCAATTGGGCAGCAACGATAATAAACACACCATTCTTTATGAGGTTTGTGAGTTGTGGGTGGGTGTGAATGTGAATGTGGGTATAGGATATGAGTGTGAGTGTAAGTCTTTGATTAAACCGCCCTCATACTCACACCTTCGATTCGAAGAGAATGACAAGAATTAATTACCAAGAACAATATGACTGTCTAACCAACTGGCTATCGATATAATTGTTGCAATATAAATGATTGTGATAGAAACACTTCTTTTTGTTCAATATGCATTCAAAAACGAAAGTAAAGATAATGTGATATTCAAAAACCAATTGTTTAAGGCAATGAGCAACAAAAGCCGATGATAGACAATGAAAAAAGATCATTTGTTACAAAGCAAAGCAAGAAATATTTAGAAAGTCATTTACATCAATGACAAACATTCAGAATATCGATCGACTTTAAGAAAAGTTGGTTAACATAAGTTGCAACTTGAAGCCAAAGTATCATCGTTTTCTATCTACCTATGAAACTAACATATTCGATACGGCTTACGGTGATTGAAAATGAACCAACTCTATTTGCTGCATTTGTTGCTACAACCAAAATGTACTTTGTTACAGTACAAAGCGCCATGGCAAACATGAAACGCCAATTACTGCCATTGTTGTTATCAAATTATATTATATTTTCTGATGGTATCGATGAATTAAAGCTGTTATTGTAAATATAACCATAGGTGTTGACACTTCTATTAGATGTGATAACATACCATCCATATGTGGATACATTAATACTAATAGCTTGATAATAGTAGGTTGGTAATGAACAACTGAATAGACGACAATACTTTTGACTACTATTAGTCAACGCTGATGAGTATTGTGATAGCACAAGTGACGTATTACCTAGTCAAAGAAACAGAAAAAAAGACAAATTTCGATCTGTCTTTGTAGTGTCACTCTATGGCTATATATATATATAGGAATTAAAAAGTACCATGTATACTGAATTTTCTCTAACTGAATAGAAAATATGTTAGACACTGATGTCCATTTAGAGACATTTTTAAAGATTTGATAAACTTTGTCATAGCGCGATAAATCGTAGGACTTTTTTTCTGCCTGGCATCTGGCGCAGTAAATAAAAAATACAGTAAAATTATGAAAAATAGTGGTCTAACAAATATATTATTGAAGAAACGAAATAATACTACTATGCACTTGATTTATCTTCGAAGTATTCCGTACATATGCACTCATATTATTTCA